GGTGTGCCAGACGGGCATTCCAGTTGACTGTTGAGTTATATTTGCACAAGGTTTCACTCGCTTAGAGGTCAACAAAAATAGCCAGCCGGCCGAACAGGATCTGGCTGGCCGCGCCGTCCGTGGCCAGAGAGGAACGTGTGAGCACTTCAGCGCGTCACGTGCGTTCCGGAACTGTCAGGTCCAGGACCGCACAGAGCGCTCCCTTTGTCTCCTGCACGCTCCCCGGGTGCTCCGTGCCCCCGGTGGCAGTTCCGCAGTTCGGTTCCAGCACGGCCCGTGCCTGGTTCCTTGTGCAGGGCAGCCCACGCAAGTCAGGAAAGTCGTCTTCTCGCTAGATGAGCATTTGTTAGCAGGATAGCAGTCGGGAGCGGCCAGGCAGAAGGGGTGCAGCGGGTGAGGCGTGGAAAAGGGGGCACTTTTCCGTGCTCTCTGACCGTGTTCACCAACCCAGAAGCTCTCTGAACCCATTCTGTAGGGTGTTTTAAGAGACGTCACTACACAGAGATGAGGGATTATTACATCGCCGCAGCCGGATCCCGGGAGCCGCGTACCAGGAGCCGAGCAGGAAGATGTGCATATGTACGACCTTCCTCGATCACAGCCTCACGGGTACCTTCTACTTGATTCTCCCCGGGGGCGAACCTCCTCTTACTCACTTATCGCCCTTGGGGGTTTAGCTGTGCCTTCCGGGGAGTGTGCCTCAGGCCTATAATGGGATGAAGCAGGGACGATATGGCCCAGGATCAGACTCTGCCGACACATCCTGAACGTAGTACAAGCAGCATCTCTTTAAGGGGCCACCATAGTCGCATCGGCAGGACCCAGGGGCAGTAGTCACGTCACTAAAGCAGACACTAGACAGTGCTCTCAGCCCAGCAGGTGTGGTGGAGGAGGCGGGACGGGGCCTCTTCCCGGCCGGGTGTACGGAAGAGATTCGCGCAGGATAACTCACGAGCCGGACCCGAGCTGGTTCCGTCGCGTTCCCAGCCCTCGGAGAACCCGCCGCACCTCCGTTTGCTCAGGACGGGGAGCCGAGATACACATGCGGGTTTGAGATCAGATGAGCTGCTCAGATATTTGGGACAAAAGTCGATGCCCCGTTTTAGATGAGGCTATTCTAGGAAGGAAAGTAGCTATTAATAACGTGACTTACCACCGTGTTGTGTGACCTATATTTGTGCAGTAAATACATCCTTGTGGACGTGTGGGAAGCGAGATTTGAGCTACAAAGCCTTCCCGCTGCCCCTTCCAGCATTCCTGCCCGAGGTGTGTTCTCACAGCGGCTATTGTGGCCTCGAGTTGGCAGTGAAGAGGCACTTCACATCCACAGTCATGTCCAGAGTGGCTGCTCCCTTACAGCCCTGATTATCTGTCTCCCAATCAAGTAGGACCGTGCGGAGTGCTCTGGCAAGTGGCCGATTCATGATCCTCGTGGATCATGCTGGGGCCACCCCAGGGACAGGCTGAGAGCGTCCGAGTGGGCTGGCCCACGGAGCACAGGCCTCGGGGACGCCGGCCGGCAGTGAATGCCACTCCGACGTCTCAGCGCGGGGCTGGTTCCAAGACGGAGGAGGAATGTTGCCTCGGGAATCCATTCCTTACAGCCCCAGTTTGGAAGATTCCATTAGGAGTCCTCATTAGACTTTAACGAAGTTTAAATGAAACCGGGTAACCACAAGTGCTTTTCTCGTCTCCAGAGATGAGACGCTAATTGGCCCTGCAGGAGGTTGTCGAGTGTGTTCCACGGTAGGGGGTTTCAGAGTCTTTGCAAAGTTCTACTTTTGCGCTCAGGTGAAGCACGCCAACACGGGGGCTCGGATTTGCAGACCGTGGGACCCGCCCAGGGCGCGGGTCCGAGAGCCGTCGCTGTGTGCGGAAGCCGCTTTAGAAAGAACGCACCTAAGAGGATGCGCAGCGCGCTTGTACGTGGGCGTCCAGTTCCCCTTTAGGATTTACGTTGAATAATGTCACCGCTGCTTTGCATTCTGGGAAGCCTGGTGCAGAGAGGTGGCCCGGGAGGGGACAGGGGGCTGAGGGAGGGGAAGGACGGGGGACAGGGCTGCCCTACGTGGTGGGCACAGCCCAGGGCGCTCAGAAATGCCAGGGAAAAGCAGCTCAAGTAGAAATCCACCCCCACCCCTCCCGAGGGAATCAGGATATTTTTTTCTGGGAAGAAATCTGTCAGCCAGACCTGTCTTCCTGTCCGGCCGCTGGAGCAGGACGAGAGCCATGAAAACAGGCCTTTGTGTCTGGCCGGGCTCTCCTGCTCCCGGGCCAGGAACGCGGGTGCAGCCGGCCCGTCTGGGCCCCCAGGCCACCGCGGTGCAAACGGAAGGTCATCCCGTAACGACAGTGGGCTCTGTGTTCCCCCGCATCGATTCCTAGGTGCCCATCAAGACAGAAACCTTGAGCTGCCATAGATAGGGCGAGTTCGGGGGCACAGGTGCTGAATCGTGTCAGAGCCGCGTTCAGCGGTTGCTTATCAGCTCCGTGGGAGGACAGGGCAGGAGTGGGGTCATGACGGACAGACACAGCCTAGAACTTTCCGGAAGCTCAGACCTGCAGGCTTCGGTATAGCTCGGACCTTTTGCCGTCAGAGGGACACCCTGAGGTTCCAATAAACACACAAGGTGCTTGCTCCCTGATTTGGCAGCTGGCTCCCTGGGGTCGGCTGTCACCCATGACTTTTATTATGGCAGGTGCTCCTTCCTCAGCCTTGACAGGCTGCAGGGACCAGGGTGTGGGTGTGCACCAGCCCCTCCAGGGTCCTGAATGTCTGGCCCCCCCTCCCCTAGTTTCCCTTCCCCCACCCCAACCCAGCTTCCGAGCAGGAGCCTGCTGACTGTGGTGTCCTTCCATGTGATGCATTAAATATTAATGCCGTGGTAATTATTAATTATTAATTCAGCACTTTGGTCCTCTTAATATCTGGCCACGGGATTAATCTTTGACTGCTCATAACCTGACCTATAGCAATTTGGTCGTCTCCCCTCACAGGTCCTGGGAATGCAGGGCCCCCAGCTGGTTCCCAGTCAGGAGTCTGAGTCCGAGTCTGGGCCCCCCCCCACTCCAGCCCCAGTCCCAGTCCCCCGGCCCCTGTCCGTTCTTCAGCCGGACCCCCTCCGTCCTTGGTGTCCGCAGCCACTGCACCGACCAGGCCACCCCATCTCCGCACTGTCTGCGCCCTCCCGTCCCTCTGTCTGTCTGTCCCCTCGGGACCCAGCAGGGATCTGTCTGAAGCCTCCCTCCCTTGCGTCTCGCTGCACGCCCTCCTCAGGCAGCTGTCTGTCCCTCTTCGTTGTGTTCGGTCTGACTGTACCCTGGCCCCCCAGGAGACTTTCGTGTGGGGAGCGGAAGAGCCCGGGAGGGCAAAGTGCTGTGGAAAGATCGAGCCTGCACCTGGGGAGCTCGAACTGGCAGCTGCCAAACATGTTTTCCGATTCAAGGTTTGCTCCGTCGCGCTCTCGTGCGCCTGGCACGTCCCGCGTCCCTGCCGGCCGGCCCCCGGCCAGCGCGCCAGGTCAGCCGTCACTGTACATTGTTCTGCGCGGCGGACGGAGCGGAGCGAATAAATCACGCTCCTCAGGTGTTCGCCCTGCGCCAGCCTCTGCTGGGAGCCGAGAATAACTCGCCCGCGGCTCACACCCTCCCCCGGCAGGTGCCAGGGAACAGCCCGGGGGCCTGGGGCCGGCCGGCCAGGGCTGCGGCCTTCCGTAGGCTGGGGGTCTTGCTCTCACGCACCCTGAGCCCCTTGTTTGTTCAGTGGGTGTCACATGGGGCTGTTAGGGGATCAAACGAGACTGAATACGTGACCAGCAATGGGGTAACCCTCAGCTGTTGTTGACCAAGTTGTTAAAAAGTGACAGATCTGGAAAACAGGAAGGAGCCGGGATGGTCACAGTGTATTGGGTTACAAGTAGGAGAAACTAAGACCAGCTTGAGCACAGTTCCTATTCGGCTGCAGGGACGCTCGTGTCCACAGCAGGAGGAAGCCAGGCCTTAGAAGGACGGAGCTGAGCCGCGCGCAGCCTCCCCACCGGCTCCCCCCAGGTCCCAGCTCCTCTCTGGCAGCATGCTGGGTGATACCCTCCCATGCTGAGCTGGACCCCGGAGAGACAGAACTGATACATTGTTACACACGCACCTAGGCACACGCATGTGGGGGTGGGCTTTAAGGAGTTGGCTCACATGGTTGTGATGTTACCAGTCCCAGATCCGCAGGGTGGGCCGACGGAGAACCGAGTCTGGAAGCAGAACTCCCTCAGGCTGCGGGACACCCGTCTTCTCTCAGGGCCTCTGACTGATGGGGTGAGGCCCATCCATGTGAGGGAGGTCATCCGCTTCGCTTAGTCTCCTGGCTTAAATGCTGATCACACCTAAATACTAGCTTTCCAGCATTATCCAGAAGCAGGTGGACCCCTCTCTGGGTACCGTGTTCTAGCCACGTTGACGCGTGAACTATCCATCCGAGTCTCCTTGTGCCCGTCTCTCTCTGGCATCCTGGCTGGCGCTCCCTGTGCCCACTCTCTGCTTCTCTCTGTGCACCCGCCTCAGACCCTCTTCCGTGCCGAGGGCGGGGGAGGGGTGCCTGGAGGTCCACGGCCACGCAGGCAGCCTGTCGGCCGTGGCCGTGGCCACCATGGCGCCCTCTGGGTGGCTTTGGTGGGTGCTGTTCTGTTTCTGTTCCTCTTCTAGCTGTTCGGGGAAGGGGGACTCCTGATTGGCCTAATTAGGGTTCCATGTCCACCTGTGACCGGCCGCTGAGCGGTGCTTGGGAGGTTCTCCGCCCAGGCAGGCAGAGGTGCAGTTGCACTATAATCATCAAAGTGCCTCTGGAACACCAATAAATATTACTAAATGTAGCAGGCCTCCATCCTCACGGAAATGGGTACTTCTCAGTGATGCTACCGTGCCCTCAGGACCTGTCCGCCAGGGCGCGCGCTTGGCGTTGACCCTCCCTGCTGCTAAAGTTCCTTCTTGCTTTGCCTTTTGATGCCCAGAGGACGATGTGGACCTGGAAGCCCTGATGAGTGACATGAGCACCTCCTTGGAGAGCTTGTACCCGGCCTGCAACATGCAGCCCGAGCCGGTGCCGCTGCGCCAGAACGGGCAGCACAACCGCAACCAGCCGCCAGTGTCGGGATCGGCAGCGGGAGCGGCGGCGGCGGGAGCGGCGGCGGCGGCGGGAGCGGCGGCGGCAGCGAAGCCGCAGGAGGCGCCGCAGCAGAAGGTGCAGCGCTCCCAGCCTGTGCACATCCTGGCCGTCAGGTGGGACCCCACGCCTCGCGAGAGCGCGGTGCGGTTACTTGGTGTTGGGGGACAGTGTTGGCCTCATGAAACCCGCAGACAGATACATACGTGTCCCCTGCGTGGCGTGACGGCGGGGGCTGGGCTGGGTACGGCTCACTGGATGACGTGCCGGGCACTGGCTCTGAGCCGTGCACCGTGCAGGTCGGTGGAAGGGTGTGGAGGAACCGCCAAGCGGGGTGCTCTAGAAAGAAGGAACTGGCCGGGCAGTCAAGGGAGGCTCCAGAGCCTCCCCGCCCAGAGCGGCGGCCTCCCCTGGCACTTGTAGAATGTCTCGACCCCTGCCCTTTGATGACATTGCCCAGGGGCATGAAGAGTGGAGGAGCCCCTGTGGAAATTCTGGGCGGGCGGGAGGCCCAGGAAGTGGAGGAGGGCTCCTTGCCGGCCATAGGTCTCCGAACTGGATGTTGGCAGGTTAGTTGGGGTCCAGGGCTGGGGGAGACTTGGTGAGCAGAGGAGATGATCCCTGGAGGTGCCATGGCAGGGTTCCCTTCCTTGTACAGGTGAGTAATGTTCCGGGGCAGCACACAGCAGACTTCCTCTGTCCGTCCCCCGCGGACAGCACGCTGGTAAGACTCACCAGGGGCCGATGCTGCGAGGCCTCATTTCTGTGCAGGATCTAACACGGTCACTCGCACAAGCAGAGAGCACAGTGGTGTTGCTGCGGCCGGGGAGGGGACACGGAGGGGTCTGGGTCTGCACCCCAGAGCCCTGGTCGGCAGTACTGGGCTCTTCACGAACTAGTTTGGGGTAACAGGAAAGAGCTTTCTAAGATTTATTTTGTGGCAGGGTCAGCTGAACACTTCCAGTGTGTGCTCTGCATGTCCAGTACAGGGCTGAGCACTCCTGTGTGTGCTCAGAGCTTCATGTGTGTACCACACCTCCGATGTGTGCAGGACACCCCGGTGCGTGCAGGATACCCCTTTACATGCAGGACACCCCACTACATGCAGGACATCCCTTTACATCCAGGGCACCCTCAGTACATGCAGGACACCCTGGTGCATGCAGGACACCCCCAGTACATGCAGGACACCCCGGTGCATGCAGGACACCCTGGTGCATACAGGACACCCTGGTGCATGCAGAACACCCCGCTACATGCAGGTGTGTAAGCCTCTGTTGGGTCCCCATTTCTTAGCTGTGGGATGGTCTCTGCAGGCCTGCGAGGTGGTGGTGTGGTGGCCTCAGGGCCCAGGTAAGGCAGCCGTGGTCCAGGGATGTGCCATGGCCCACAGCCAGTGTGTGGGGAGCCCGGATGCAAACCCAGTCTGATGGCCCCAAGGGCCGGGAACACAGCGAGCATCATGCTGGGTCCTGGGCCAGGAGCGGGGCGTTGCTGTCCCCACGTTGTCACACTCAGGCTTCCCCACCAGGGCCAGGGAACCGGGGTCCGGAAGGTGCAGGGGGCTGCAGGCCTGTGTGCTGGCCCTTCAGGGGCCTCCTGTGGGGGTGTCCTCGCTGCACCCTCCAGATGGGGTTTGTTCAGCCTTCACAATGTCCCTCCACTTTGCCTTCAGCCGTCTCTGGGAGCTGCTGGAAAGTCCACTTTTAACAAAACTTACTGAGGCGACATTCACGTAACATGGGGGGACCGGGAAGCGCAGGTCCAGGCAGCCGGCATGTTCCGCCCAGACGGGCTAACCCCTGGGGAAGCGGAATCCTGCAACACAGGGCTTTATGCGTCTGGCCTCTTTCACAGAGGATAACATGTGTGTTTTTTAAATATTTTATTTTTAAAGTCATTTTTAGGTTCATATCAAAATTCAGAGGAAGGTGGTAGATTTCCCTCCCCTGCCGCGGGGTCAGCATCCCCACAGGGGTGCTGTTAATATTTGTTCTAATTGATGAGCCTGCATTAATGCATCCCCAGCACCCAAAATCCCCCAGTCCACATTGGGGTTCTCTCCCGGTGTTGGCCGTGCTGTGGGCCATTGGCATCTCGGACTAGAAGTCAAAGCAAACTTGTGTTCTCTGGGCTCCTGGTTCGAGGTCTGGGCAGGAAGACACGGGAGGTGGGCGTGTCTGCCCGAGGACACGTGACCATGGACGCTCTGCCCAGTCAGAAGCCGTTCCAGGGAGGCTGATGTGTGTGAACAGAGAAAATAAACTTCCTGGCACGTTGTGGGATCGGAGGAAGGCCGCAGGTCTTCGTGGCACGGAGCCCCATTGTGCCGTGGGAGCTCCCACTGGACATCCCCGTGGCTGCCCGGCCCGCCCGGGGGGGCGGCACAGGCCTCCCGCAGGATTGGGACACCCCGAGGGGTCGCGGTGTCCGATTCCACGCCATTGTCCCTCCCGAGCACGCGAGCGAGCCGTTCACTCAGCCCGGTTGTGAATTCGTGAAGAAGGGATGTGAAGACGCAGCCCGCGGAGGGTTTTGCTTCGAGGTGTGTGCGGATGAGGAGTGGGCATTCCTAGCAGAGACGGGACCCAGCCGCACGCGCGTGAGGGCGCCGGGTGGACAGAGGGCAGGAAGCTGCCAGGGGAACCCCTGGGGGAGGAGACTCGGGGCACTTTGCAATTGTTTTGCTTTCACTTTGAACTTGATGTTTCTGCTGTTTCCCTAATTGCATCTGATTCATCATCTGTGTATGTTTTGCTTGGTTGTGTGACAAGTGAAGGCTGTTCCTGGGAGGAGGGAGCTCTCTGGACCCAAACAGGGCAGAGTCCTGTCGATCAGGACGTGGTGCAGCAGGGCACCCGGTGACGTGAGCTCGAGCGTGTGTGGTTCGGGCGAGCAGCCACCTGCAGCACGTAGCACCGACCACTCGGTACCAACGGCCTCTTGTGTGTGAGCGGGCCGTCCTGCCACAGGGCGGAGAAGGACGCAGGACGCCTCTTCGAATATTTCTATCTGGTTAGAGAGGCGCTCCTTTCAAGGGCGTCGGGAGATAGCTGTTCTTTCGAAAATGCTCTTGTTCATGAACCTCTGCGCAGGCAGGTCTTCCCGGAATAGGACTGCTGAGGTCTTTGGGGTGATGTGCTGAGCATGGTGTGCGACGGGGACGTGCACAGGGCTTCTCCCCGAGTCGGGGCACCGATGCCCTTCGAGCCCGAGGTGGCAGCTGTTTCTTTTAATGTTTACTCGTGGTCAAATACACATCACACAAAATTTACCATGGTTAAGGACCCAGGTCCAGGTTGTATGTATTCACATTGTCACGCCACCAAGCCCAGAACGCTGTCATCTTGCAAAATTGAAACTGTCCCCGCTAAACACGGACGCCCCACCCCACCTCCCCCAGGACCGGCACCCGCTGTCCCCCTTTCTGTGTCTCCGTGTGCCGAGAAGTGGGCTCCCCTGGGGTTCGTCTTTGTGCGGTTGACGTCTCTCATGGAGGCTCACGTTCTGTCAGAATGTTGCCCTTTTCCGGGCTAAATAGTAACCCTTTGTATGGACCGATGTTCATGCCTCCTGGACGCTGGTTGCTTCTGCCTTTCAACTGTTGCCAAGAGTCCTGATGTGGTTACTGTGTACTTATCTGTTGGATCCCCAGGAGTGGGGCTGCTGGGTCATGCCTGGTGGCAGCTTTTAACCCACGGTTGTCTCTCCTCTCAGGCGCCTGCAGGAGGAAGACCAGCAGTTCAGAACATCTTCGCTGCCGGCCATCCCCAACCCTTTCCCCGAGCTCTGCGGCAGCGGCGCGGGGAGCCCCCCGGCACTGGCGTCCGGCTCCTTGCCTCCGAGCCAGGCCCCGGCGAAGCTGGTGAGCGTGCCCTCCGTCTGCGCCAGGCTGCGGGGTTGGGGGTGCACACGCGTGGGCTCCGCGCTCTGGGGAGAAGGGAGGGAAAGCGTGGTCTCTTCTGTCTTCGCCCTTTTCCTCTTCCAATTATCCGTGTTGCCTTGCAAGGCTTTTTAACTTACCAGAATTTCATTTATTACGTCAGGGCCGTAGCTGTGTGTGTTAGAAGGAGTCTCGTGGACGTGGTTTTAAAACAATCACAGTCTGCTGCTTAAAAATGCGCTGTAGTTTTCTGACCCAGCTTCGCCACCCCCGTCTTCCTTTCCCACGGATCGTGGGTGAAGGGGGTGCTGAGTGCTGGGCTTTCGTGGGCACCTGACCTGCAGTCCATCTGAACGTGTCCATGTTCCAGTCTTGACTTTGGGTGTGATCCGCCCCAGGCGCACGAATTCCCACTCGACCCGGAAAGAGACGGCCGACTTTCTAAGCCGGTCGGTCGTGTGTACGCTCGGGGAGAGCTGTGCTTACGTGTGGCCTGGTTCCCGTGGGAGGAAACTGAGGCACAGAGTTTCAGTGATGTGCCCAAGTCACATCACCGGTGACCAGCTCATCGGGGAGGCGCTGGTGGCTCGTCCCTCCTGGTCGGCGGGGCCTGGGTCCGGGTGGGTCCCAGGTTCGGAGGGAGACCCGGTGATGTTCTGATGTGTGTGTGGGGGGGTAATACGAGTACAGTGTAATTACCATGACGACTGGAGCATCTGACATCACTGAGGGATCTCTGTGTGCCAGGCGCTATTCTGAGTGGTTATACATTTATTTCCTTATATGTTTGTTTATTTCTCAAAACAACCCTAAGAGGTAAGAATAAACATTCTCTCTCTCTGAAGCTGGGAGACGGGCCCAGCTCTAAGCTGGTGGAGCGTGGTTGGGATCTAGTGCGAATGGTGAAGCCGCTGGGCCCAGTGTAAGCGACCGACCCGGGGTGCCCCCGGGGTGAGTATTCGATTTCCGGTGTGTTCCGACCTCAGGATCCAGAGCCTCTGATTTTCACTGGGCCCTTGAAGTTCTTTCTTTTCAACAAGAGTGTTTCAGAAGTCCCTTCGCCTTCTCTGCTAGAATCACCCCCTTCTGCTCTCTCTGTACTTTTCCACGGTTGCCGTCCCGGAGGGTGAAGGGCCACGGTCCCCGTTCCCTGCACGCCCTCCCGTCCCTCACAAGGCAGGGGCAGGCCCGCTGCCGAGCTCTGCCCCCGCTCCGACCTCGCACCTCCGAGCGGGCTGTGTCGTCCCCCCATCGGCCCAGAGAGCGAGGTGAGGGCCCCTGTCTGGAGGCAGAGCTGGCCGGGCCGCGGCTCTTTGTCACATGCTCAAGTACATCTGGGATGTCTGCCTCCCTGGTGACCTTCTGCTTCAAGCAAGGGTCTAGACACGCCGTCTGTGGATTGGTCACTGAGGTTGTTTACAAAGTTACTCATCCTAAAATAAGACCGTGAAAATATTATCTGGCTCCCGCGGCGGCTGGCAAGCCAGTGGCCTCCAGCCCCCGGACTGTCCAGCTCCGTGAGCAGAACCAGGAAACCCAGGGGTTCCGCCTGCTGTGTCTGGGGATTGGCGTGGTTCCCATGAGAACGTGGTGTTGGCGTCTGCCTTTCTGTCGCACACACCCCTCCGGCAGGCGCAGGAACGGGCGGAGAGCGGTGTCCTTCCCGCCAGCCGGTCGGTCCGAGACGGGCGCTCTGGTCCGCCCTGGGCTCCGACACCGACCCGCTGAAAAGTGCGTGTCACTGCTGCTGCAGGTCGCGTGGCCAGGTGGCGTCGGGGTCCTGCCCGTCTGGGACCACGATGGGCAGAGCTGCTGCTGATGGGCAAGGAGGTTGGGCCCCTTCTTTGTCACAGGACCGAGGGAGAGAAATCCAACGTCCTTTCTTCTTTCATGCGGTCAGGAAGCAAGCTGGTCAGCTGCAGGCTGCCGCCGGCGGGCCCCGTGCGGTGCCAGGGGACCCCGTCTCAGACCCCGTAGGATGCGCTCAGGCCGCAGGAGAGGCCACCAGTGACGGGTGGGGATGGTGGAAGGGCCAGACCCTACAGCTCTGCCCCGCGCTGCTGCGGGGTGTGGGCCTCCTCCCGGGGTGCCTGGTGCGTCCGTGCTCTCCGGCCGCCGTGGCTACCGGAGGCTGAGGCCCTCGCTCCCGTGCTCAGGGACAGGGCTCTGTGCTCAAAGGCCGGAGCCTGGAGACCAAGGCGCCTCTCCACTCAGACACGAGCTGCTCCCCAGAAACCCCTGCCCCACGCACTGCGTGTGGGCCAGGGCCCCAGAACAGTCAGTGGCGGGAGGAGAAACTGAGGCCGTGCGTGGAGCGGGCTGACCCCGCAGGGCGGCGAGGACAGTCCCCTCTGAGGACGCAGGAGCCAGGGAGCAGGCGGGCTGCTGGCGGGCAGGGAGAGGCCCTGGAGTGGAGGGCTGGTGAGGAGGGACGGCGAGGCCACATCTCCGCGTCCGAGTGGAGCTGTGAGCGCTCCTGGGCGCTCCGGGCAGCTCGGTCGGCCGGCCTCTCAGCCAGCGAAGGTTTTCGTGCCGCTGCACAGTGACTCGTTACAGCAAGTCCTTCCATGTGTTATGTAAACACAATTAGTCACATATTTTAACCCCATTATTAATAGGGCATAAATACTGTCTTCGCTCCAAAGCAGCTCTTCTCTCTTTGCTTAATTTTAAAAATTAATTTTCTGGAAGTGAATTAATTGCCTCGCATAGGGTTTTGACGTGCATTTACTAACGAGCACAGTCGGGCCTCCCGAGGCTTTGAGAAGCTTTAATGAATGGGCCGCGACATCAGGCCGTCGTTGGCGAGAGCTCCCCGTGGTTGCTAAGCACAGGTTACGTCCCGGCCAGTGCGGTGGGGGCCGTGCCACCCGCCTCCGCCCAGGTCGGAGCCTCGGCCGGGCCGTCCTGGAGCCGGACTGTCCTCCCGTCCTCTGCGTCCACCCCACGGGCCCCTCCCACACTCCTGAACCCTCGCTGCTTAGCCCCTGCAAAGCCTGCCCTCCCCGCCTTTTCTGGTACCTTCGGGCTCAGAACACATTAGAAGCAGGAATTCAGTGAAGCTGAACCCGAGTGCTGGGGGCCCGGGGGCCCTGAGCGAGGTGAACCGTGTCCCCCACCACATGTTGGACGTTCAGAAGAGTCAGGTCGTGTCTGGACTGGAGCCCTGGGAGCAGGGCTGGGCCCCAGTGGGACAGAGGAGGGGCTGCTGTCCCGTGACAGTCATTTACGGCCGCACCAGAGCGAGGGGCCGCCAGAGAGACACAGCAGCGTGTCCCTGTCATCTTAGAAGATAAGACCCTCCTCGCCCGGCGCCCCCTGACTGGCGCCGGCTCTCCCGCTGCCTGTCTCTGTGAGTGATGGGTGGACAGCTGCCAGCTCCTCACCACCCCCAGGCCCCTCCCCCGGGGGGCCCCAGAGTTCCCGGGCCAAGGGAATGACTCAGGGGTGTGTGCTGTGACCCCTCCCAGGGGCCCCTCCGTCCCCGTCCTCACCCCCTCCTCCACCCAGCCCTCGCTGAGCCCTGCCTCTCCGAGCCCCAAGCCTCCCTCCCCTCCCTCCCCAGGCGGCTGGCCCAGCCCACGTGGCTCCTGGCAGAGCTCGGCTGGACCAGCTGCTGCAGCTGCAGTGTGGGTTTCTGTCGCCACCCCCACCCTGGAGCTGACCCACCATCTTCCCTCCCCGGGCCTGCCCCTCCTCCGCCCTCCTCTTCTGGAATTTGGAGGGAGGGGTCACTCTTAAATTCTGCCTCTGTTTTTTGGCCACCGCAGCCAATCAGTCATGTGGCTTCCCTGGAAATTTTCTAGAGAAAGAGTATAAACCATTTCTGTTGGTTTTTAAGATTACAATATGCAAATGGAACGTTTCGTTACCAAGTCTCTGAGGAAGTTAATTCAACAAAGATTTTTTATTTTCCTTGGCCATCTCTGGGAGGCCCCGCAGGGTCCCTGCTCTCCCTCCTTCTGCGAGAGGCCCCTGGCTGGGCTGCGCCCAGAACCCCCTCCAGCCTGGGGCCTCTGCATGCCTGTCCTGTTCTGTCAGAGGGCTGGTCAGCAACACGTTCTCATGGAGCAGCTGGGGCAGGGCCCGTCCAGAGACCCGCGCCGAGTTTCAAGTTCATTATCTCCCCCACATACGACCGCCACGCTCTGAGCCAACAAACACGGCTCCGCGGGCCAAACGAATGTTCACATGACATCTTATCACTCCTGGGGGGACGGGAGCGGAGCCTCGCCAGGCGCACGGAGCCCACGACTGCGTGGCGCCCTCCCCGCCACCCCTGTGCCGCGCCACCAGGAGGTCAGGAGCTGGGCCCTCGCGCTGGCCGGCAGAGGTGTCCTGGACAAAGTGTGTTGGCGCGCTGAGAGCACCCTCAGGGAGCGTGGTGTGGCGGGGACAGCCGTGTTCACACGCCGCTGCACCACGGAGCCCCGGGCTGGAGCTCAGACCACAGGGCGGGGCCCTGGGAGCCGGGTCCGTGGCTGCTGTGGCCGTGTCATGTGTCAGCCAGGTCTGAATCACACGTGCCTCACCGTACCCCTCAGGGGAACCCTCTGGGCTCCCCGCTCCATCCTCCTGGTCCCGGCTGTAGGAACAAGCCATGCCTGGCTTCTCTGCCTCCCTGCACTGCCCGGTGGACGGACGGGGGCCTGGGCCTGCTCCCTCAGCCTGGGCCTTCTGGAAGAAACATCCAGTCCGGGAGGTGCGGGGCCCTTGCACAGGGGCACTGCCACTGCGGGAGCTCACGTTTCACACAGTGTGGGGGGCGGACCTATGGGACATACCCTGGAGCTCCCCATGTGCTCTGTTCCGGATCACAGAGCCCCTGGTAGAGGTGCCGCCTGTCCGAGGTCGGCTGTGGGACGGGGACCGCCGTCCTGTTCTTGGGCGTCTCTGGGCCTCGGCTACAGCCCTCGTGTGTGTCCCTGGCAGGCTGGGTGCAGGCTGGCGGACATCTGGTCAGACTTTCGGGGTGCTCTCCC